CACAACAACATAGAAAAATACAAAGAAAACGTTGAACGCAATGTTCATGCAGCCTTTCTGACTATACAAAAAATTGTTTCTCTCACTTCTTTTCGCAGTAATAAAACAAAAGGTTCCAAAGCCCTTCCGTTAAACAAAAAATAAAATTCGGAAACAGCCTATAGGACTTTTGTCTTGTTTTGTCTTGTTTGTGTAACAACGATTGTAGACGACCGATGAGCCAATTAGCTTCATGAACATTGATAAAGATGAAATGTTTATTGCGATAGCTTAAAATCGATCGTGCTAGACGTAGAAACGGATCTAAAATTTCTCCTTTTGTTCGAATAAGTTTCTGAAACTCTGTAGAAATCCAAAGATTAGAATCCCAACTACTCGGTTGACAAATAGGAAATAGTGTACTGCCATGGAATGCAAAGGAAATCGGACGAAAAATGTCGGTGAATTGTATCAAATCCATCATGGGACTTTGTTCATCGCATAAATTTATTATTTCACGATGTAATATAGGTTCATGTGGTTCGACAGGCAATGGCCGTTCCTGTTTCCTTTCTTCTTCTAATTCTTGGTCTAATTCTCGTTGTTGTTCTTCGTCTAATAGCTGTGCAAGACGTTGTTTTGAGTCGCCATAAGTTTTAAGTCGATTCAACACAGTGTCAAGAATTTTTACCGATGAGTTATTGGGCAAATGTTTTGATCGAGCTAAGTAGATTGCCGCTTTTTTTATGGCGTTTTCCATGGACTATATATCTGCATTAATGATAATACTTCAGCTTCTAAAGAGTCTGTAGTCAGTTGTTGGAGATCTTCTGAAAAGCTTTGTTGCTCATTCATCCACTGAATCGATCGATAAGCGACCATTTTTCGTTGATAACTCATACTTTGAGCTGCCAAATCATTTAATCCATCCCAAGTTTTACGTTGTATATTTTCATAGACCCAAAGAAGAATATCGATGGTGTTGATTTGATTAGTACGAAAACGTTTTATAGTTTCTGTCCATCGATTTCTCTTCGATGTCCAAATTTGTTGATCAACGTCATTCGGACTCAAAAAAGTTAACCAATGATGCAGTCCAAACTTTCTCATTCTCATACACTCTTGAACAAATCGATCTTTCGTCAATCCGTCGCCCATTGTGACAGCCGCTAAAAATCCATTCGGAAACTTGAAATCGGTGCCTCTTGTGTGAACTTCATCGAGATAAATTAGACATCGATCGAGTCGTTCACTGGCCGGTGACGTAAAAAACGATTGTTGTTGATGTTGTCGATCACAAACGACAATTGAATCCGATTCAAAATATATGTCATAGTCGATTTTATCTTTGTTCGACATATTCAACGAACGAATCGCAATTTCATGATTCGTTCCATCAACAAACAGTGCGCCCACATCAAGGATAACGTTGATCATTGACTCGTTTTCAACGATGTGTTTCAAGATTTCTTTTGAATTGGCACGTTTGGGCAACGATTTGTAGTTTTCATTGTTTGGTGTTAATAAATTATTTACGACGAGTGCATCCGTTTTCTGTAGTTCGGGTAAATCGGATTGAGGAATATGACTCGGAAGTAATAATTGAGTATCATTGGTGCCACTAAAGCCAGTGATAATTTTTGCTCGGGAATCTGTCGATAGATCCCTAGCGGACGAGATCAATTTATGTAGAAATTGCTTCGCTTCTCGAGGAAAAACGAAATGATCAAGGATGTAATCGATTAGAAACATATTGTAGCGTAAAACTGGGAACAAAAAATGTGTTCGTTGTTGATAATCTACGACGTTGACGCCTATCGAATACTTGAATCAACATTTTCACCGGAAATCCATTGTTCATAGATCGATGTCGGATTCGTTTCTTCTTCATTCAAACGATTGAGACATTGAAGTATCTGAGGGTCGCTCAAACCGCTGTAATAATACGAGAGTTGTGTTAAAACGATGGCGACATCGGAATGACCGAATTCAGAGTTCAGAGCGATATCTTTTGCTCGAAAGGGCACAGCCATCGAACAATTAAACAGCGGACAACTATTAACACCATAATGCACTCAATAACGTTTTTTCAAAGCAACGAGAAGCACTTCAGATGATAGAAGACCACGAACGATTAACAATAATTGAATGACGCTATCTGTCGCTTCGTAATTAAGATCATCAATCGACATGTTCGGTTGTAAAATAAATGATCGAATTCGTTGTTTATCACTTTGACGATAATTTTTTCCATTCAACCAATCATCGGCGATTTATTCGCACAATTTCCCATACAGTAAATTTGACAACAATCAAAACTGCTGTTTTGAATCGTTGGAAAAGATTTCATTCGGATATTCTTGGGCAATCCTTGAAGCACATCGTTTGACGATAAACACAATCGATTGAATAGTTTTCCAAGGTTCTTCTGCTATTCTACTATTCTACTATGCTTCGGTTCTAGTATTGTTCTGTTGCGCTATTTGCTGTATTAACTATGGTCGTAAGGTTTATGAATACACATACGGCAGAATTAGTGTGAATAGGTGTATAATACATAGATTCTAGATGCTAATAAAAGTAATGCACAATTAATGCATCTAATGCATAATTAATCCACGTAATGCACATTTAATGGATAATTAATGCATTGAAGTGTAGAATTTTTTCTCACTTAGAATAGCAGAATAGTAGCGCAAGCGATTATTTCTAAGTCTAAGAAATTCACCCAGCCCTCGACCGTATTGTAAAATCGAATGCATTATCAGCATAAGTACACTCTTAACATCAATTGGTAAAGAATCGGATTCGAAAATAGCTAAAAGATTCCACCACTGTAAGCGGTGACCAGACGGAAACGAACCAAATTCGATGAAATGTGAAGTTTTAAGCTCCAAAGGACAATTCGATTGTTTAGCAATGACATCATTCTGTCGGCTTTCCGTTGAATCAACAGTAAACTGCAAATATTTATAATTAGGATTGGTTAATTGTGCTGTCAATCTGACTATTTCTTGTACAAATTCTGCTGGTTTCGTCGGAGAAATTTGAACTTGAAGACTATTTGGATAAAGAAACTCGTCGACAGGAGTCGTTCCGACGGGCTTAGAAGCTGAATAATGAGTTTGAGTCAAAGATTTCGTATAAGACACTAATTTGACTTTACAATTATGTGTGTCAGTTCAGAATGGACCGAGTTTTGAAGCATGGGGACGTACACATAACCATTCATAAAGATTATTTGATGGATGTGAACAAGGTCGATTCGTGAGTTACCAAAGAATATCACGATAACATCGAATGCGCACAGGCAGTTGCAATTCAATGTTTTCACTTCTTTTAAGCATTGTTGAGCAAGGGAAAGGAATGCATTTCACTCCATCAACGTTCAATTTTCTAGCGAGAACGTAGAATCGTAGCCGCTTTTAGCGGCTTAGTATCGAATCAAGTAGGTGACATTTTACTGTCAATATTCGGAAAATCGAATTCCAACTTAATCAGTTCTAGATTTGTCCATCAAAAAATTTTGTTCTATTCTAAAAAGCCACTGCCTTCGACTGCGTGTTCTCCTCAACAGATGCTCAGGTCATAAGTTTGATACGCTGAAGGGGATAAGTGCAGGTTTCCAGCACTCAGTACCTGCTCAGCACCTATCCAGCACTTGTTCACACTTTCTCGGTACCAGATGCTTAAAAAGTGCTGAACAGGTGCCGACGTGCTGGTTAGGTGTTGAGGTGCTGAGTGTTGAACCTGCACTTTTTCCTGTTGATACGATCAACTTGTTGTCACGAAACTGTAGATTTCAAGAAAATCAAAAAAAAATTCGCTACACGGTATTTTTTAGAAAATTTGGCTACAGAAAAATCGAGGGGGATAACGTGCGCGTTTTCCCAAACCAGTATTGGTTTCAGAACAGTTTTCTGAAACAGGGTTTCTAGGGGATCTTTGGAAAACTGGACCGTCAGTAAAAACTTTCCAATAGAACTGTATTGTTCTTTGTTCACGGACTGATAGCTCTGAGTGTCCTCTCGAAAATCCGAATAAAGTGAGACCTTGGTTTTCCGCGGTTTGGGCTTTGTATCGGATATCTTACTAGTCCAAGGACTGGCACCCGGTGACTATTGGTAGCCTTAAGAACTGATAGACTATGGGTAATCGACCATGCTGAGCTTCATGGATATATTTGTTTTTAGAAAAACTTTTAAAAATCTACCGAAAATCCAGTTTTACGAGAATTAAGGTTTCCAGACTGCTATCACCTAATATTAAAAAATTCACCCTTCACTCAAATAATATTAGTAGGACTTCAAAACTTCAGAATGTAGAGTATTTAAGATTTTAAGAGAGATTTTCTTAAGAGATTTTAAGCTTGTTCTAATGTTTTGTCTCAAGTAGATCAGAAAACACACATACACGCCCAAAAAACCGCAGAGAAATCGTCTTTATATTACGTTAAAAAAAGGACGAAGCACATGTATCTTGTCATATAATAGTCACTTTTTTTCGAAAACATTGTTATACTCAATACACATGTATACATGTTCAGTTCGTGATATTCATCGTGTCGAAAAATAATGTTTAGCTTAAAGAAACTCTAGCACATAAGACAAAAAAGATTATGTATCACATGAGTAAATGTGACTTTCTTGAGCCCAAAATTACGTGATTGAGAAAAACTCCACTAGTACAGACCTTCCTTCTATAACATTTGACCTAGACACTTAAAACCAAAAAGCTAATGTTCATTACAGAAACGTTCCTTGCTACAACAGTAACGAAATATTTTTTATTAGATCTCAAAAGCTAGTTTAAGCGCCTTCGGAACGTCTACAGTAAAATTAGACAATCCATCAGCAAAATCCATGTTAAAAGAAAGGCATGTGAGTTTATCTCATTTATTTTTATCACTTCGGCAACAAAAGGAAAACAATTAACAGCTTTAAACAAAACACAAAAAACATACCAAAAAAGTCATATTGGATATGGGACCTCAGCCCGCGCGCAGTTCTCGGAAATCTGAATCGACAGTTCGATTCAGAATATTTTTCTCTTCATATACTGAATAAATCAGCTCCGACTTTTCTAATTTATTTTATAGAGCGCTCGTGTCTACGTACGTTTATTTTATTTGTTTCGTACGCTGACCAATAGAAATCCAAGATGGCTGCCATGCCTAAAATTCTACGTAGAGCGCTCGCTTTTCTCAAAAATAATGGAACAAGGTAACGCTCGTCTCCACTCGCTCGATCCCTTGACTTTAATAACCTGGATCTGCGCTACTGAACGCGCTTCCGTGATTTTTAAATCGAAGACAATGCTCACGCCTCCCTTCGGTCGGCGTTCGCAGCCATTATAGCTGAGAAACGCTGTGAACTTCTCTGCTTCCAAGGAAAAACCATCTGATGTAAATAAAGCTAAAAGGTTTTCTGGACACTCTTTACGGATCCTAAGAAGATTGGAACTATTTTTAATCGATTCGCTATGATAGATTCTCTATACACTGTAAGTTACAGTATGCCTAGCCGACTTTCCTTGTATTATCACAGTTGACTGCTATCTGGCGACATCTATCACCGGCCTACAGAAAACGTTTGCTTAGCTTTTTGTCTCTCTGCAGCGGTAGATATTTCAGATCATCTCTTTGAATGTTTTCTCCCTTCTGTAAAAAATAATTTTCTACTTCTCTCTCTTGTGATTCGCTTATCCATAGAATATCTAACACCCATTTTTCCGTATTTTGCG